ACACTGAATTTTCAAATGTTGCATAGGATATCAGTGATGTGACACAGGATGTATTTCAAGAGTAAAAATTCATTGTGTTCTGATTTTTCCTTTTTTCTTATTTAGAAACAGAAGCCTATTTCTTCTTTCTTGACTTTTCTTTACCATTTTACTGTGGCACGTTCTACTATTACATAATTTTTTAGTGATTTTTTTTAATGTATTTTATTGAAATATCATTTATGTACAGTGAAATACACAAAACTAAAGTGACATAAGGAGCTCTGGTAGTGTAGTACCTAAGGCACTTACTTGACTGCTAACCAGAAGGCTGGTGGTTCAAACCCACCAGCCATTCCTTGGAAGGAAGTTTGGGCAATCTACTTCCGTAGTGATAACCGCTTTGGAAACCCAAGGAGGGGTCACTGAGTCGGGTCCGACTCAAGGGCACATAACAACAACAACAACAAAGTGACATAGGTCAGTGCTTTTTTTTTTCCCCCCAGTGTTTTCTCTCCACCCCTCCCATCCCTGGCAACCAACAAAGAAAGTTTCCCTGCATATATAAACCTTTCCTTGACCCTCCACAACAACAAACTGTGACTGACTTATTTCACTCAGCATAATGTCCTCCACATTTATCCATGTTATGTGGTGTTTTGCAGACTTTATATTATTCTTTACTGCTCCATAGCATTCCATTGGGTGTATGTACCATAGTTTGGTCATCCACTCTTCCACTGATGGGCACATAGGTTGTTTCCATCTTTTTGCTATTATAAATAGTGCTGTGATGAAAATGAGTGTGCATATATCGGTTCCTGACCTGGCTCTCACTGCTCTAGGATATATACCTAGTAATGGGAACTGATATCTCCAATTCTGGCTTTCTAAGGAATCACCATACTGATTTCCACAGTGCTTGTGTCACTTCAGTCCCACTAGCAGTGTATGAGAGTCCCAATCTCTCCACATCCCCACCAGCATTTGTTGTTTTCTGTCTCGTTGAACCTTGCTATCTGCTGGGGTGAGATGGTATGTCATTGTTGGTTTGGTTTGCATCTCTCTTATGGCCAGTGATCATGAGCATCTCTTCATCTATTGGCTGGCCACCTGAATTTCCTCCTTGATGAAGTATCTATTCATGTCTTCTACCCATTTTTCAATTGGATTGTTAATTTCCTCGCTGTTGAGGCATTGGCGATTTCTATAAATCTTAGAGATAAATCCCTTGCCAGATATGTAATTATTGACAAGTATGAATTTGTTGCTGTCATTTTTGTTATGTGCTTTTTTGTGGTGTTGATTTCTTTGCTGCATATAATTTTCTGTGCTGAGCTTGTTTTGTTTATGAATTGTATTATCACTTCCTTCATTGCTGTTGGTTTAGTATTTGCTAAATATTTGTGCTGGTCTTCTTTTTTATTTTGATGTGAAGGTTTATCATTTTTCTTTGCAGTTACCATGAGATTTACAGTTTTCTTCCCCAAGTTTAGAAGAGTCTGTTCTATCTTATAGTAGTCTTGACATCCCTACCATCTAGAAAGTCTGTAACGACACAGTTTTTTCCCTCTTTTTGGTTTGTAGTTGTCCACATTTGTCAATTGATGTCTCTGGTTCCCTGTTTATAATCTTGTAGGCTTATTTACTTTGGATACTTCCATAGCTGGGTTGGTTTCTGGGTTATATCATCATGTGTGTTAATGGTCAGTTGTTGTTGGCTGTTGTTAATTCTCTGTCCAAAGGACTCCCTTTAGCATCTCTTGTAAGGTTGGTCTGGTTTTAACAAATTCCCTTAATTTCTGCTTATCTGGAAATGTCCTAATTTCACCATCATATTTGTGGGACAGTTTTTCTGGGTATATAATTCTTGGCTGGAAATTTTTCTCTTTCAGGGTTTTATATATACCATCCCATTGCCTTCTCTCCTGTGTGGTTTCTGTCAAGAAGATCTGAGCTTAGTCTTATTGGTTGCCCCTTGTAGGTAACTTTTCGTTTTTCCTGTGCTGCTTTCATGATTCTTCCTTTGTCTTTGGTTTTGGTGAGTTTAATTTTGATATGTCTTGGTGATTTTCTTTCGGGGTCTGCCCTGTTTGGGGTTTGTCGGACTTCTTAAATGGATATATTCTCATTTTTCATCATACCAGGAAAATTCTTTCCCAAAAAATCTTTGACAATATTCACTGTAGTTTCATTTGTCTCTTCCTGTTCTGGAAGAACCTATATGTAGATTATTCTTTTTGATGGTATCTCACATGCACTTTAGACTTTCTTCATTTTGTTTTGATCTTTTTTTCTGATTGATTGCTTTCTAAAGAAGTATTGAGATATTTGCCTTCAATCTCACTAATTCTGTCTTCCATTGATTCAATTCTGCTCCTTTGCCTGTTCAATGTGTTATCTAGTTCTGAAAATTTAGTATTAATCTTTTGGATTTCTATGTGTAGATGTTGTATCATTTCTAATTTTTCATTTATTTTGTCATTTTGTTTTTGTATTGTCTTTCGAAATTGTTCTAGGGTTTTCTCTGTGTTTTCCTCAATTTTGTTAGTGTTTTCCTTGATCTCTCTCTCAATTCATTGAAAATACCTAAATATAATTCTTGTGAATTCCTTATCAGGGAGTTCCAATGCTGTGTCTTCCTCAGGGATGTGTTTTGGGTGTATATCCTGGTCCCTTGTTTCTCCTGCTTTATCTTGCTTCTTTGTGCACACTGTGATGCTCTGTTGTCTCTGAGGCATTATGACATTTTTGTGTTTATATTTAATTGGTTATTGTATGTTGAAGTGACTTGCCCACAAGTATTGTTTTCTTTGGATTTTATCTAAGTAAGCAGGGTACTGTGCTCCTCTATTCAGTAGTTGGCAGCACTTACACAATCACCACCTGTCTCCTTTCCCATTGTCAGCCTCCCATATGTCCCTGCTGTCCTTGGCAAATGGAGCTTATTCTTAAGTCCTTGCAATTTGAATGAGAATGCTGCCACTTTAAAACCCAAAATGACCACTGCTTGTAAACATTCAAAATGAGTATGCCCTCAGTCACTTTAAATATCCAAAATGGCTGCTGCTTGTAAACAATCTAGATGGCTGCACTCTCTGGACAGCGGAAAGTCCACAACTCAGGTTGTTTCCCTCCTTGCTGTTTCCCTTCCTAGTCAAAGGTCACCAGCACAGTCATTCCTGCAGCCCTTGGTGACCAGGGCTGATCTTTATGTCAGTTCTCAGGTCCTAATACCACTTATATTCATGCTGTTGGTCCCGTCAGAGTAGCTGACAGTGCACAGCTTTGACTGTCTCTCTACTTACTGTTTTCATTCAAGTTTTTCCACTGGTTGGTGCCTAATCCACTTCTGTGTAGTTCCTTTCAAAGCTCAGGGCTCCAGGATTCTCTTCTGTACCTCTGTCAATTTTTTTTTTTTTTTTTCTGTGTTAAAGAGGGTCTGTGTAGCTTGTGTCCATCTTATCAGAAGTCACCAATTTTTTAGTGATTTTTGTCAGCCTCTATGTCCCAGCAACCATTTATGTATATGATTTAACAAATAATACTGATTATATAACTTCATACTTAGATATGTATAATGTAGGAGCAATGATATACTAGAGTTCTTTAAACAGAAAATGTGTGAGAGAAATTGATACATATTTTCAGCCCATATACTTTGTGTCTGGTAATGCCCAGAAAAAACTTGGAGCAATTAATATCTTATGTGTTAGTGTCTTTCATAGGTGGGATTTAGAGTGTTAATAAAAGTGAGAATTCCACTGTGTTGGGAAGATAACATTTATAGAACACTAGTTACTTTATTTTCTTAGCATCCAGTGAAATGTAGTTTGCAATCTTTTATTTAATGAGATATTTAATGAAATTTAATCAGCTGAATTATTGTTGTCCTATTTTGTCTATAGGACTGCTTTTATAAAAGAAAACAAACAAACCAGTTGTTCTCAAGTAGATTCCAGCTCTTAGTGATGCTATAGGACAGAATAGAACTGCCCCATAGGATTTCCAAGGCTGTAATAATCTTTAGGGAAGGGAGGCCTGGTGTCTCATCTATTACAATGCTTTGCTGCTAACTGAAAGTTTGGTGCTTTGAATCCACCAGTCACTCTCCATTGGTGAAAGACGTGGCTACTGCTTCCATAAAGATTAGAGCCTTGGAAATCCTATGGGACAGTTCTCCTCTGTCCTATTGGGTTGCTATGAGTTGACTCAACAACAGTGGGTTTTTCTGTCAATCTTTAGGGAAGCAGACTGCCACATCTTTCTCCAGTGGAGTGGCTGGTGAGTTTGAACTGCTGACCTTTTGGTTAGTAATGTAAAACCTTCTGTTTTTTAAGCTGCACTAATAAGGCTTAATTTACTAGTTATATTTTATTTATAATTAAATAGTTATATTGTACCTACCATTTTGGTTTCATCAAAATGAGGGAAATCTCTTTAAAGTCTTGATAAAATTCTTAAATGGGTTTGGATTTATCCATATGTATGTAGGAATATGCTATTATTTTAAGTTGTGAACAGTCTTAATTCAACTAAGGGTTAGTTTTGAAGGTTTACTGTGAATGGTTTACCCCTTTTTTAGTCTCTTCTTTTAAAAAAAAAAAAAACAGCAAACAACTTTTTATTGTGATTTGGGTGACTTTTATAGAGCAGATTATTTTCCATTCAACAGCTCATAGACATCTTGTTTCATGATACTAATTACAGTTCCCACAATGTAATATCTCTCTTTCCATTTCCTCCCTGTGGATAACTTATTAAAGCATTAGATTGGCATTATACATTTTAAATTCTTATATTTTACCAAATTGTCATTCATTACTCAAACAGATGTAGCAGTCTCTTTGCCTTGATGCTGTAATAGGACATGTCACTTCTACTTAGTGGATAAGCAACCATTTGCATTACTGAGTTTTGATAAAATGGAGATTCATGAAATTAAAAATGTTCTATATTATAGTAACTGCTTCATAGGTTTTAAAAATACAGTAATCTCTATGTATGTGCATATTTTTTAGAAAGAATCTTCAAGAGGGAGACATAGGGAAAAGGAAGACATAAAAATCACTAAGGAGAGAACTCCAGAAAGTGAAGAGGAGAATGTGGAATGGGAAACTAATAGAGATGGTGAGTTTCAAGAATCTTTGTTTATATTGTCAATTCTTGATTATTAATTTTGTAGACTTTTTGTGGGCTTCAGAACATCTTTCAATTGTGATCTCTCGATTGTCTCAGGACCATTTTATTGTTTGTTTTTGCCTTACTGGGTTAGAAGGCAGAAACTGGCATACAGTATCAGTACAATGGCAGAGAAAGCTGTTTGTACTGTGTTTCAACTTTTCCATTCCCCCTCTTTTTTAATTTTTTAACTTTATTCTGAAGTGTCAGAGTCCTTTAAGATTTTACTATGTTGGTAAACTTTCTAAATTCCTCATTATCAGGGGTTTTTAAAACAACAAATTTATGTTTGTTGTTTTACATAGGTATGAAAACAAGATTTTTAAATCTTACCATGGAAACTTACTTCAAAGAAATTATTGACTTTCATCTTTCAGAAGAAATTAAAATCAGATGATAACTGAGACCCTGGGTTTATTCATGAAAAATTAGAAAAGTCTTTTTAGTTATTGTCTTAACAGTTAAACATTTATTTTCCACACCATCAATTTTCTGTCTCCGTGACCTTCTGTATAATTAGCAATGTAGCATTCTACTACCAAATACAGAGAAAGAAAACTCACATTTATTGAACGCATTGAGTGTGCTGGGCATTTTAATATAATTTATATAATTGTCTCAGTAACTCAATAGCTTTTTTATTACTACTGTTACAAGTTACCATCTGTGTCAGAGTAGAATGGTGCTCCATTGAGTTAATTGGCTGAATTTTTGAAAGTAGATTACCAAACCTTTCTTCCAGTGTACTTCTAGGTAGCTTTGAACCTCCAACCTTTGAGTTAGTAGCCAAGTGCTTTAATTATTTGCACCCCTTATGGACATCATTACTGTAGTTACAAATGACAAAGCTAAACCAAAGAGATTAAGAATTTAAGAAACTTCCTCAGCAGTAAGCTGAAAACCTAAACTAGGGATCAGCAGTTACATTCTGTGTCTAGCTACCTGTTTCTGCAAATAGTTTTATTGGAACACAGTCACACCCATTTGTTTACATATTATTTATGACTGCATTTGAGCTACAGTGTCTGAGAATAGTATTCTGAGAGCTTGCAAGTCTAAGATACATACTACTGTATTTAAGAATGCTCTGTGAAGACTTGAATAAGACTTGAATAAGACTTGAAAAGTAACCTAAATGACTTTCCAGTAATTGAAACATCACTGCTTTTAAGTAAATCCATTTCATCTTTGGACAGTACTGTTTATTAAATGTAGCTTCTGAGAATGAATAAGAAACTTCCTCTATCACTACCGTTAGTTATATCTATCCCCTTGGGATTTCATGAGTCAGTCTGATTTTTCTTGTACAAAATAGTGGTAAAGGCAGCTATAATGTCCCATTGTAGATGACTTAATTAATCAATATATTAAAATAAAGTAATAAAAGGTGGCTGTTTTAAGGTTAGATAGCAAACTTTTTAAAAGCTGAGGAATTAACTCTCAAACACCTGACAGTCTTTCTTTTCCTTTTAATGGTAAAACCATTCTGAAATGAATACTTTGATTTCATTCTGGAAGGGATACTTCCTTGTCTTTGAAAATAAAAATTTCCCTGTTCTCTTTACAGTAATATCTGTTAATTGTTGAAAATCGAAAAGGTTCAGAAAAACCTATGTCAGTTCTCCTTGTCTCTATTCCTATTATTTTAAACCTTCTCCTTAAATCTCCTAGCCCCTTATTTCTTTTTAATTATGTAACTTTTTTGATTATTAACTTTGTAGACTTTTTGTGTGCTTCAAAACATCTTTTAATTGTGATCTCTCTGTTGTCTCAGGACCACCTTAACATGGAAAGGTAGAAGGTTAAGCGCTTGACTATAAGCAAAAGGTTGGTTGTTTGAACCTACCCAGAGGCACCTGGGAAGACAGGCCTGGCGATCTGCTTTAGAAAAGTTGCAGCCTTGAGTCCACTGTGGAGTAGTTCTACTCTGAACACGTGGCATCATCATGAGTCCTAGCGGACTCGATAGCAACTAATAACATCATTCTGGTTCTGATTAGTTCGCATCTTCTCAGCAGTCTTGTTAATTTGTTAACCCATTGTCTTCTATATGTTTATTACCTATTGAGAAAAATTTTCTCTTGTCCTCACATTCCCTCTTAGCTACCACCGTATTTACCCCAGCTTTATAACTAAATTTCTTGAAAAAGTTCTCAACCTTGTTATCTCACTTTTTCACTTCATGCTTACTCAGTCTTTTCCAGTTTGACTTCTGACACATCTGTCCATAAAACTACTCTTCAAGGTCACTAATAACCTCCTTTTGCTTAACAAGCAGAAATGCTTTGTGTGTATGTTATATGTCGTCTCTGCAGCATTTGATACGTATGAGAGCTCCTATATTCTTGAAACACTCTTCCCTTGACTTCCGTTCTATTGCTCTTCATATTGTCTTCCTGGTCAAGCCCTTCAGTATCATATAGAGGCTCTTTGTATTCTTCCTGCCCTTCAGTGTTGTAGATTCCCAAGGCTTTGCTCTAGACTAGCATTAAAAAAAGAAAAGAAAAAGCTTTTCATGTAAGAAATTTTCTGAAAGGTGACTAATGTCTCTAAGAGTAGTTTTGCATTTAAATTCCACATGGCTATTTCTACATTTTCCATTGATTGAAATTCATAAGCTTTGATCATTGTGTATCTATGATTTCAAAGTATCCATTGAAGGAGTTGAAGCATCAAGTTAGTCATTTCAATCTCTGAAAAGTTAAGACTAAACTTTTCTTGTGCATTTTAATCTAAAGTGAAGAGCAGCTTTAGGTAGGCTCAGAAGAAGTTGATCTATAGTAGTGTTTCTCAGACTGGTTTCAGGACATTTGTGCACTGCTTTTAAGGACCACAGAGGGCTTTTATTTATGTGAAATACATTTTTCAGTAGTTACCATGTTAGAAATTAAATCTTAGAAATTTAGAAAATATTAATTCAATTAAAATTGGCAGTAATGAGCACAATACTTATTCTTATGAAAAATAACTATTTTACAAAGCAAAATTATAAGGAAGTGACAGTGTTTTATGTGTTCTTGCAAATCTCTTTCAACGTCTGCTTTTATAGAAGATGACTAGATTTTTCTGTCTACTTGGTTCAAATGGTTTGTACCTGCCCAAAGGCACTGAAGGAAGAAGTCCAAGCTGCATTGAAGGAATTGGTGAAAAAGAAGGCTCCAGGAATTGATAGAATAGCCACTGAGATGTTTCCACAGATGGATGCAGCACTGGAGGTGCTTACTTATTTATGCCAAGAAATTCGGAAGACAGCTGCCTGGCCAGCTGACTGGAGGAGATCAATATTTATGCCCATTCCAAAGAAAGGTGATCCAACAGAATGTGGAAATTATCGAACAGTATCATTGATATCACACGCAAGTAAAATTTTGCTGTAGATAATTCAAAATGGTGGCAGCAGTATATAACAGGGAACTTCCAGAAATTCCAGCTTCTGAAAGCTGGATTCAGAAGAGGGCTTGGAACAAGGGATATAATGGCTGATGTCAGATGGATGTTGGCTGAAAACAAAGAATACTAGAAAGATGTTTTCCTGTGTTTTAGTGACTATACAGATGCATTTGACTGTATAGATCATAACAGACTGTGGATAACATTATGAAGAATGGGAATTCCAGAACAATTAAGTGTGCTCATGAGGAACCTATATATAGACCAAGAGGCTGTTCTTCAAACAAAACAAGGGGTTACTGCATGGTTTAAAATAAGGGTGTTCATCAGGGTTAAATCCTTTCACCATACTTATTCAGTCTGTATGCTGAACAAACAATCTGAGAAGCTGCACTTTATAAAGAAGAATGCAGCATCAGGACTGATGGAAGACTTATTTACAAGCTGCAATATGACAACCTTGCTTGTTGAAAGTGAAGACGATATGAAGCACTTAATGATGAAGGTCAAAGACTACAGTCTTCAATATGGATTATACCTCAATATAAAGAAAATGAAAATCTTCACAACTGGACCAATAAACAACATCATGATAAAAGGAGAAAATACTGAAGTTGTCAGGGATTTCATTTTACTTGGATCTACAGTCAACACCCATGGAAGCAGCAGTCAAGAAATCAGAGGTTATACTGCACTGGGCAAATCTGCTGCAAAAGACCTCTTTAAAGTGTTGAAGAGCAAAGATGCCACTTTGAAGACTAAGGTGTGCCTACTTCACAGTCCTGAGGTGGTACAGTGAAAAGGTGGTACTTATGAAAAGATGATATTAATAGTATGTGTATTAGGTAAACATATACCCATTTCTTTTGAGTTTATGTTTAATCCTTGAGGTTATGCTTATAACTAGACCTCCTAGCCCATAAATTATGTGTATGTTTAGCTTTAGTAGATAATGTCAAAGGATTTTTAAAAATGTTTGTACCAATTACCTATATATATATATATATATATATATATATATATATATATATATATATACACATATACATATACATATAAATTTTTTTTTTCTTTTTTAAATCATTTTGGAGATGTGTAAATCAAATAAACAAATAAATAAAATCCTTATCAGATTTCTTATCTGGAAATCCCTAATCTCACCATCATATTTGAGGGACAGTTTTGCCAGGTATGTAATACTTGGTTGGAAAATTTTCTCTTTCTGGATTTTATATATATCATCTCATTGCCTTCTCACTTGCATGGTTTCTGCTGAGAAATCAGAGCTTATTTTTACGGGTTGTTCTTTGTAGGTAACTTTTTTTTTCCGCATGCTGCTTTCGGGGTTCTTTGTCTTTGGTTTTGATGAGTTTGATGGTGATATGTCTTGGTGATTTTCTTTGGGGTCTATCTTGTTTGGGATTTGTTGGATTTCCTGAATGGATATATTCTCATCTATAATCATATCAGGGAAGTTCTCTTCCAACAATTCTTGGTTTTCTTTTTCTCTTCCTGTTCTGGAATTCCGATTACATGTAGGCTATTCCTTTTGATGATATCCCACATGAACCTTAGGCTTCCTTCATTTTGTTTTGGTCTTTTTTCTGATGATCCCTTTCCAAAGAAATATAGAGGTATTTGTCTTCAATCTCATTATTCTGTCTTCCATTGATTCAATTCTATTCTTTTGCCCTTTCAATGTGTTATCTATTTCTGAAAATTTAGTATTAATCTTCTGGATTTCTATCTGTAGATTTTGTATCGTTTCTAATTTTTCATTTATTTTGTCATTTTCTTCCAAAATTCTTCTAGGGTTTTGTCTGTATTTTCCTTAATTTTATCAGTGTTTTCCTTGGTCTGTATCTCAGTTCTTTGAAGATACCTAAATACAATTCTTTTGAATTCCTACCAGGGAGTTCCAATGCTGCTGCTTCCTCAGGGATGTGTTCTGGGTCTGTATCCTGCTCCCTTATTTTTACCACTTTATCTTTTTTCTTTGTGTGGACTATTATGGTCTTTTGTCTCTGAGACATTGTGACATTGTTGTATTTAGATCTCTGTTAACTTTCCAGTCAGTTGGTGTCCAGAATGTCCTTATGGTTCCCAATGTCCTTGTGGTTCCCACTGTTCTTGTGGTTCCTGGCAAGTGGAGCCTATTCTTAAGTCCCTGGAATCTGGGAGAATGCTGTGGCTTTAAATAGCCAAAATGGTCAACTACCTATAAACATTCAAAATGGCTGCACCCTCCGGATATGCAAAAGTCCACAGCTCAGCCCGCCTTCCTCTTCACTGCTTCCCCTTTTATTCACCAGCCACCAGTGCAGTCCTTCATACAACCCCTGGCTAGCAGGGCCAATTTTTAGGTTAATTATTAGGTCCTAATGCCACTTGTTAATATCGAAGCTGTCTGTGCTGTCAGGAGCACTGACAGACCGCAGCTCTGTATGTCTCCTTTTTTGGTGTTTTCATTCAAGTTCTTCTGTTGTTGTTGTTATTATGTGCTGTTGAGTCAGACCCAACTCATAGCGACCCCTCCTTGGGTTTCTGAGGCAGTATCACTACAGAAGTAGATTGCCCCATCTTCCTTCTGAGGAGTGGCTGGTGGGTTTGAACCGCCAGCCTCCTGGTTAGCAGTCAAGTGCCTTAGGCACTATGCTACCAGAGCTAGTTGGAGTTCAGTCCACTTCTGTATCCTTCCCTTCAAAGCTCAGGGCTCTAGGATTATCTTCTGTATCTGTGTTAATTGATTCCCCTTTTCTCCATTGAAGAGGGTCTGTGCAGTCTTTCTGCCTATTCTGCCATCTTCCCTATCAGATTTCTAAAGCTGTAATCTTTGCAGCGCATACTGACATTTTTCTTCTGCAACGCTATCGGTGGGTTCAAACTGGCAACCTGTTGGTTAGTGGCTGAGATCTTTACTGCAGCACCACTAGTGCTCCTTGGTGATGTGAAATGGTACATTATTGTGATTTTAATTTGCATTTCCCCAGTGGCTAATGAAGTTAAGAATTTTCTTACATATATTTTTGGCCATTGTATATCCTATTTTGTAAACTGTCCATTTCATAATTCTACTATTTTATTGAGTTATCTGTTTATTATTAACTATAAAAACTCTTTATATATCTAGATATGAGCTCTTTATCAGATGTATGAATAGCAAATACCTTCTCCCACTCTGTCAGTTGCAGAGTAATCTTTTAAAGGAATAAATTTATTCATTTTATTCCTCTGTTAAAATCCTCTTGTCCTATTGCTTTCAGGATAAAATACAAATAATACTAATTTGGCTACAAAATTTTCAATCACCTGATTGCTTCCTGTATGTTCAGCCTTCCTCCCCAAGTCTGTGTGTTTTATTTGGTTCCTTAAGTGTCTTATTTGTGCACTATGTGTTCTCAAAA